CTTATATTATAGTAGTATCGTAGGGTCTTTTCTAAGTCCTTCTACGGACTTAATTAGGTTAGTAATATATAGCGGGATCCCGTCTTCTTCTATCGCCTTCGGGGCGGGTACGGTATTCGGGGGTATTATCGCGTACGCGGCGGCGCGGCGGCGCGGGAGTCCTCGGTCGCGAAGGTACTTCTCGTCGTAAAGGTGCTTCTCGTCGTAAAGGTGCTTCTCGTCGTAAAGGTGCTTCTCGTCTTAGTAATATAGTTAATAACCTAACGTCTAGTTTTATTAAAGATATCCTAGTCTTTCTTATCTATCTCGTACTACTTTATCCTATAGTTAAAGAGTCTAACTTGCTCTTTAGAAACGCTATTAGTAACGTTAATAAATAGCCTAGCTAGCTAAATTAGCTCCCTCTCTTTATTTCCGTTAAGATTAGCATACTACTAAATATTATAGTTTATTAGGTACTACTTTACTTACTTATACTAGAGACTTTAATCTAGTAGAGTTCTTAGGATTCGGCGGTTCTTACGGGTAGTCTAACTAGAGGTTTAATTAATAGATATATTAAATAGGAATGCTTTATTAGGTATTAATAAAGTAGGTCTTATAGATTACTAATGCGTTAAGGCGTTATATTAATGCGCTATTAGAGTTAAGCTAATATAGAAGATATAGGAAAATCTCTATACGGATATAGCTACTCTAACTTTGCTAATAGAAGCTATATTTCCGGTAGTTCCTTAAGCGAACTAGGCTTATAACTATTAGACTATCTAGTAGCCTAATAAATTAATAACAAAAGAGATATTAATTAGTTACTATATATATAGCTAGCTAATTCCTTCTTCCTAAGTGTAATAATAATAATATGCTAAGATTACCTAACATTACCTAATATAAAGTTATATAGCCTGAATTCGACAATAACGAGGGACTACCCCTATGAAAGCCACGGAGGCTTGTCGTGTTTTATCGTCATCATCACGTCCCGGAGCTTCTTGTTAGAAGGTTTCGCAATTCTACCACCAAGGACCGATGTCCGGCTGAAAGCCGCGATCCATAAGAGGACCAACCCTCCCGTGAGGAAAAGCTCCACATAAAGATGTGGAAGTTGATGACTTCTCCGATCCACGATCTACTATTGTGTGAAGATTGCGAGTGCCTCATCGTCATACAGTTGCGGTAAGCGCAGCATTACATGGAACAAGAGGGTCCAGGCCTGAAGGTATACATTCACCGGCATCTCACCCCAGCAGTCCTTCAAACTTTCCCTCCATACCATTCAATGTCTGTTCAAGATGGAACCACGCGAGAACGTCGACCCTGATCAGAGCTGGCCTAGAGATGTCAAGGCTCCTGACCGATCCAACTTCCATCAGGATACATACTCGCAGAGCCAATTCGATGTTATCAAAGTACTTGTGAGTCGTAACCTCAGTCCAAGATTTGTGACGAACCACGCTGACATACATAGTCTTGCCTTGCACGGAGGCCGAACCCTCGAATAGACCTAGGACCCATTGACTGCAGTGCTGCCATGATAGTCTGCGACATGTATTTGGAAGACAACCCCATCGTCTACTGCTCGGAGGCGTTTTGCGATCTCACCGGCTACAACTACTCCGATGTCCTGGGCCGAAATTGTAGATTCTTGCAGGTACCCGGCACTTCAGATGATACGACGTCCCGTGGAAGAACCCCGGGCTTGGACAAAATCAGCATGCCCGGAGCACCATCACAAACCGTCGATCTTCAGCATGAGCTCCATCGGTTAAAGCACTCCTTGTCGCATAAGGAGGAGGTTCAAGCCATGTTGCTCAACTACCACAAGTCCGGGAGGGCATTCCTGAATTTGGTCACCGTTGTACCTGTGGAAACACCTGGTGATGATCATCAATACCTCGTTGGCTTTCAAGCCGCTTCGAGGCAAGTTGAATGAGGTTGGCAGCAGGCGAATGGCAGGCTGGATGCTCCGGACTCGCTATGGCTGTTTGGTCATCGAATGGCAGATGTTGCTGGCAATGATGATGAACACGACCGGCAGGAACTCATGAACGGAACGATGATATGTAGATCGATAATATGTAAGCTAGCGTACGGCGTCGAGAGGGCGAAGGAGGAAAATTTACAGCGATGATCTGTATGGGTTTAACGAAGGAGATATTGACACTCCCGTCTTTGCATTTACAATGTTACGTTTCTGTCATCCCCAGGTGTTTTTAAGTCTGCCATTTCTATGCACGGCGATGTGTCTCGGCAATTTGGAGATTGGTCCTGCCGGAAACATGACGATTTCTGTGTTGTCGGCGATGCCTGAGAGATGAGTGATATTCTCGGCTTTGAAAAGTTAACAGTCGGATGAACTGTTTCGTTGCCGACATCGACAGCATATGCTGATCTTTGGAGATCTTCATTGTCGGTGCAAGGTGAGTGAATGTGGGCATTTCCTCCACTGTCGATCATTCGATAGGGTGGCCGAACAACACGTTCATCCAAACACCCACCACGCGAGCAAAAGGACCGTCACGCTGCCTCCATCATAACATGCGCGAGTAAAACACCCGACCCACCATCGCCTCCGTCAGACGAATGTCGGCAATCCACACGTTATCCCCCACCCTCCGCGCCGTCCGCCATCTTGGCCTCCTCCATGTCGACCGATGATCCGCTGAACTCCGACTCCGACGCTGGGATCGAAGTGCAAAAGCGCCCTCTAGGCAGGACAGTCTTGGATCCGCTGAAAAGACTCCCATATCGCCGTTCCAACGCCTCCCTCTCCAACTTGTTCGCCTCGACATCCTCCCTCCCGACGCTGCCCAACCCCGGATCGCCGCGAAATGCAGGTTCAGGGACAAACACTCCCAGTGCCGCACCGCATAATGGCTCGGTATATTCACCACCGGGCTCGACCACGGTGAGATCGCCATCACCGGCGCTGTCTGGCCAGGTGGGAAGTAATGACACCCGAGATATCATCGTGCGCGCATTCTCTCCGCACGTGTCTGTCCTGGCTTCGCAAGACAGCGAGGAACTCATCAGACACAAGGGCATAAGCGGGGGATTGTTGGAGCTGCTGCGTCCGTTTGGGGAGCACATATCGGGCAAAGTCACCATTCGCGACAGCGTGGGAGTAAGTAGGTCATGGGAAGACTTCTCTGTGCGCTTCGCTGCTGTCAGGGATGGGCTTGAGAGTCCTCGAAACCCGGATCGCAGAAGTGCAGACTCCAGCGATGTACAGCGAACTGGGCAAAGACAATCTCTTCAAGAGTTCAAGCCTGCCAGGCTACGGTCAGGAGGCGATGTGCCTCAGATAGAGGAGCTGGTCGAGCGACATCTCACATTCTCAGAGGAGCAATCGGGACCTGCAGGCTCCGACTACATGACCGCAAAAGGTATTCCCACTGCTATTCCGGGTGCTACTTCACCATTCTATTCGCTTTACCTACGTCGAATGCTCTCTGGCCTTCCCATGGTGCCCGCCGAGACGTTCGCTCACCCCGTGGCATCTGTGATAGCTATATCGTCGCGCTCGGCGTCACCTATCGAAGAGCTGCGCAGTCTGTATGATTCTTCCAACACTGGCGAGCACCGGTTGCCGCAATGGGTACACAACGAATTCTTACGCTATTACGTTCTCATTCATGACGAAGACTACGACGACATCACGAAATCCATGTCCTTGTACGACCAGATGAAGCGTCACTTTGGCCTGCATTGTCATCTTCTTAGGCTTCGCAGCACACAGTGCGTACCATCTGATGATGATAGCACTAGATTACCACAGCCCGAGTGGAATGCGGCTGCAGAGGAGCTCGCAGAGATTGTACGTCGCGAGACCAACGATGATGGAGAAGACCCTACCCCGTACATATTCGAGTCAGACGCCGCAGCGCTGCGGGCTTTTGTGCGGGAAATGGTCACACAGTCCATCATTCCTTCAATGGAGCGAGCGTCTGCTACGTGGAATGACCAAGTGGCATCGAGACGGCGTGGCTTGAGTGGCAGGTTCATGTCCCTTTCTAAGCGCTTCACTACCTTTGGTGGCCGCAATTCGTCTGGCCCAGCATTGGGTGGAGCCGGCAGCAACTACGACAGCTTACAAGGGTTCTACAAACCTGATGCTCCCGAAGCTGTGATGCGGAAACTAGCAGACTACGCCATGATGCTACGAGACTTCAGACTCGCACATGGGACGTACGAGATCCTATGTCAAGACTTTAAGAACGACAAGGCGTGGCGATACTATGCTGGTGCGAACGAAATGGCAGCTGTGAGTTTGCTATTGGCCACCAACTCGAACAACAAGATCCGGATAGAAGGCATCGACCAATACTTGGAAACCGCCTACTACTCATATGTCACCCGCGTTGGAGCGCCATACAACGCGCTGCGGACGTTGATATTGGGTGTAGAACTTCTCAAGATGCGGGGTGGGAATGCCCTGGATGATGCAGCCCGCTGGTCTAGTAAGATCCTCGACGATCGGATCGTCGGTCCTATGGGACATGCGATGATCACTGAGCGCATTGCGAATTGCTACACCGAGCGACGAGCAGTGAACGGGCTGGCTGATGTCGRCCGCAGGAGGAAGTCTGCTTTCTATAATACGCTCGCTGCTGACGCCTGGCTACGGCAGGACAAGGCTTCCCAGGCGGAGAAGTGTCTTGGCGAGGCGTTGCGCCTGTATGGTACGAGGGATGATCCGAATGCGATTGCGTTCGATGGAATGGCGAGCTTCCTCGCTACTCTGCAAACGACAATTGCGGCGAATCGCGGAGGTGTCCACCATATAGATGGCGAGGAATTGCTCGGAGAGGACGGTGACCTGCTTGTTGAWCCTCTGCAAGAGGAGAGCGAGCAACTCAGCCGACTCTCACCTGCTGTGGCGCATAGGAAGAGCTTGAGCATTGGCGGGCAAGCACCTCCGCCTTTCGACCCATTGGGCGCGATACCGAGCGCATACGAGGTATCTGGTGGTGCCACGGGYGCGAATACTCTTGTTGAAGATGCGGGGCTGTCGGGTGCTGCGAAAGATCGTGAGCGGAGGGATGATGGGTTTGAATGAGTGATACAAATGTCGATGACCAAGGTCATTTAGCGAAGGTGTGAGGCGTTCAGAAAGCATTGCGGTGCATTGCGGTTGAGGATATACCTGATAGGATGTAGCTAAAGGCTATGAGTACCGTTTCGACCCCAGACCTCCCTTGAAGCATCTCATGAGGACCACTACATGGGACATTTCTGTCTGTTAGACGGGGTTCCTGGAGCTTCCTGTCCTGCTTTGTCTTGTCCTCTTGAATAACTCCCCCCATCTTTGCTCGGCCGCGGGATGAGCTTCTGTCCGTTCGTCTTCGACTTTAATATGAACAGGCACAGTCAACCTTAATGTCATCTCTCATGCGACTATACCAGTTGCGACGCCTCCCACTTGGTACACGATTCCAGCCGCGATTGTTTCTGCTGTGATGATACTGGCTTTTGTTCAAGATGGCGGGTATGCTAGATTGAGATGATCTGTTTTGCTCACCTTATACTCACAATGTGGTTCATATGTGCGCGGGCAGAGCGAATTCAAAGCTCGTGACCAGAGCCCGTACATGTCTGAAAATATCAAGATTAAAAGGTCTGCGTTCTCGCAGTAGCCTCCTTTGCACAACTGGAAGACTGCCAGTGGAGGCCTCTCAAAATAGTCTGCTCATGATACGTAAACTATGGTCTATCGTCACTTGCGTGTCGAATGCCACTACCCCAACCCTAACCCTGAGGCTGCCTGCTGCAGACGACATTGCTCACCAGCAATAGCCAGGATGGCACCCTAACATTGAACGACGGTAAGCACAATAACATGGCGAATGAAATCATTATTAGGCATACAAAGCAAAGTCATCACATCTATGAGCTCACACGAATAACAAGGACACCAAGAGGAGTCATTCTCCAATGCATCTTTCGAAGAATCCACCTATCTACAATCTGTACAAACACATTTTTGCCGCTTCCAATGCTAGCCACATCTTCGCCCAATATCCCAAGGCAGAGATGTCCATCACAACTTCCCATCAGAGTAACCAGCCCGCGAAAACAAAAAACTTCCACGCACAAATACAGCAAAAACACCTCCAGTGTGTGCATGCAACCCTTCCAAGAGTAACGAAGCGGGTATCAAAAGTCTGGTTGGAAAGAACAAGGAGAATTATGATGGTGATGATGATCATGAACCGAGTCCCCCATATTAAAAAGGTCATGGCCGGCCAGGTTCTCCGGTATGAGGGRACTGAAAAACAATTATTTTTTGGATAGGGGCATTGTAATCACGGATGCGTTCGTCGAGATCGACCGTGGGAATCGTAAGGCGTGTACGTGTGTGTGGAATGTACGGACCGGTTTCGTCTCCAGAACGGTTTTCGATCGACCGGGTAGTAGAGGATACAAACGAGAAGCTGTGGGCGGGACGGTGCTAGATTGAATCTTTCAGATTCGATCTCGTGGGCGTCGGGGATCTCTGCTGCGTCAAGTCTGTTGATGATCGTTGGACATCGAGAAGACGTGCGCTGCCCGCGGAGAATTGACGAGAGTGACGGTTGGGACCAGTGGTTACGCTGCGTGCCCGCTCAAGCTTGGCGATCTCATCGTCGCTTGAACTTCTCTCCTCCGCCTCTGGGGGAGTCTCCACCGATTCCATGTCAGCGGTCAGATATTCTGTAACCAGTCCTTCGCGAGACTTGAGTCTTGAATCACGTTCGACAATTGTTGGTTTTCTTCGAATGCTGTCATGGACGGTGAGTGGTGCTTCGCCAGGAGTGGTGAGGGTCGTTTCCCCTTCCTCATCTTCGCTCTCCTCGACATGTGATGCACCCGTGATCGCAGGGTTGCTCATTGGATGTGAGGTGCCTCCTGCGTTACTCGTAGTGAAGTACTCTGCATCCTTGTCGCTACCACCAAGATCCTCGTAACTTGCACTGAAATCGGCAGTGCGTCTGCTGAAAGGCCTAGCGAGACTTGATTGGTGAGATTGCCGCTTCAAAGAGCCGCTGGCAAGCCAAGATCCTTCGGACCCGACAGAAGCCATGGAGGCGGATTGTGGTAATTGACGATGAGGACTAGCGCGACCATCGTGGCGAACCGCCCTTGCCCGGATGTCAATGGGTTGCGCCATTGACCTATCGCCATATCTCGCAGACATCATGCCGACTGGCATCACGTCTGGTGATTGTGTTCGAGAGTCTGGTGGCGACACTGGCATCTCATCCAAATCTTCTTTGAATTTGCTCATCGTCCTTACAGGCGTACCCGACACCCTGCGCGATTGAGGAGGCCTGTATGCCTGAGTATCGATGAGATGCGCGGGAATCGGCTGATTCCTCATTGACTCCCGAGAAGTGTTCGAGAAGGAGAACTCCGATGGCGTACTCTTCCCGTCATCAACTCCCCTGCGAAAGGTGCCGCMACGACGGAAGATGGCAGCCCAGGTGCCATTACGTCTCTCCTTGAATACACTCGCTGGGTCTGAGCTGCGACGCTCGTCGAAGTCGATTCGAGGAGGCCTTGGTGCGTCAGAAGCACTCTGCATACTTTCATGTGACATGCTGTGATGCGATAGACTCTGCTGACGGATCGCCTCAGTGAGCTGAGATGAGCTGTGCGTAGCAGATCCTCTTTGATACACGGGCGATAGCGGCGGCGTGTATGCTTGTGAAAACCGTACTGCTTGGGCAGTTTCAAGCACGGCATCCTCAAATGGGGTTCCCAATGGTATTGGCGTTGGCATGGGGGCTCCGGCCGATGCCTGCATCTCTTCAGGTTGCGGAAGAGGCGGTACCTCTTCCATTGCGTCCACGAAAGGATTCTCGGGAGCAGCTTCGTCGTCGGTCGTGAGATCGATGAGCGGCTCATCTAGTTTCACGATTCCTGGTCCTACTTGCTCGACTGCAGTGGGGGGAGAAATGTCTCCGCGAAGAGCAGGATGCACAGCTGTGGGTAACGGAGGTGAACGGAGGGCTTGCAGCTGCTCCCCTGCACGTAATCTTGCCTCCTCAGCTCGCTTCTCTTTCTGTTCCGCCAAATCGCGACGTTTCCTGTCGCTATCGCCTCGCTCGCGTCCAGCTCTACTCCTCAGCTTACGATCGAGCTTTTCCAACTTTTCTTGGTCTCGGCGAAGTCGTCGCTTAGCCTCGCGCTCCATGAGAGCTCGAATGTCACTGGAATCGAGATCATCGGCTTCGTCGCCGACAGTGGGTAGTTGCCGTTTGGGATCACGATTGGATTTCGTCTTTTGTTTGCCATTCCGCGACTCGTCATTTCGTGATTCGATGTGGTAGAGAACGCCGGGTCCATTGGGAGGCAGACTGCTCGACACAACGTACTGCGGTGTCCCAGACAGCCTCACAGCGGGCCGTGGGTTGAAGACAGCGAAGGTGCCGACCTCCCACCCGCGTTGTTCCATTGGTCCCGATGTGGAAGAGTGGACGGAATTCTGAGGAGGCAACGAGACATTCGAGTCCCGCAAACCCGCAGCGCCACGGCTCTTCTTGCTGTCTCGTCGTAACGGTCCGTCGCCAGCGTGTCTGGGTATGGGCATTGAAGAAGACATCATGCGAATTTCTTCTTCCCGCACGCGATCGTCGCGTCTCTTAGACCTTCTACTGGACGTCCGCCGTACAGGACCACTGTATTCGCCAGTGCTCCGCTTCGATCGTAGAGTGGCGGGACGTTGAAGCTTTCCCGTGGCTTCTTGTCGCTGAAGACTCGTTTGTGAAGCAGCATATGGACGAAAGCTATATGGTATGCGAGGCTTTTCCGAATCAATGGCGCGTAGGTGTGGGCTTTGGTCGAGTTTGCGACTTCCTGGCAGTGCCGTCATTTTGTGTCCTCCGCTGGCTTGGTATGCAAAAGGCATGTTCTCCTTGTCGGAGTTGGGTCGCTTTTCGAGGTCCACCCACGGTCGCCCGACAACCTTTTCCTGGTGGGAGGTGCTACGAAGGCGCTGACTGAGCTTGCGGGACGGAGACCTCCTCGAGGCTGTTGGAGCTGCCGAAGCTGCTGCAACGGCGGCGGCGGGGTCGGCGTTGGCAGGGAGGTTGGACTGTGCCTTTTCGTCGTTAGAGGAGGAGCTGGTGCGACGTCTTCGCCGATTGAAGGGCCATATAGCCATGTTGGCAACGCGAGACAGTGATCAACGTGATCGCATCCATCGATCCAACAACGACTTGTGACGACCAATGCCCGTGACGCGGGTTGGGAATCGATGAGGGCAAAGCAGAGCGAGCAGCGTGGAGGGCAGCCGCACTCAAGGGAACACCGCGCGTGTCAACCGAAGTGTCGTGCCCTGTGGCGTTTTTCCCACCTTTGACGGCTCCGGCGCAGGCTACGGAGTGGCTTGCAACGGGCGCGCCAGGTGAAGTTTGGTGGATGATCAGCGGCTGCTTCCACGGCGGCGCGCTTTGCAAGGGACGGGGGGAAGGTCAAATTGCAGAGACGGGCTTGGAGCAATGATAGTATGCAGATGCAGGTAATGTAGATGAAGCAGCGAACGAGAGAAGAGGAAGCGAGATGTGCGCAAGGGCGTCGCTTCTCGTGCAGGTCATGAGCCAAAAGGTCCAGAAGCAAGCAAGCAAAGCAAAGCAAGCAAGCAGAAAACCCAACGGGGATCGAGGCGCTGCTGCAGGCAAAGGAAGGCTGGACTTGGATTGGGTTGACGATGATCGATCGGAGGGACGATGCGAGAAGTGCTGGACACTTTTCATCGCTTTTCTGCTCCCCATCTGTGCACCCTTCTGCGAACTACTGTGCTGCTGCTTCATCTCCCTCCAGCGCACACACGTTCCGATGCGATTGATTACCGACACAAGTCATTGGGCACAGCGCATGGCTGTGCGTCTTCTCCATGCTACCATCTAAATGGCCATTCGTAACCACTGGTAGCACAAAAACAGGGGTGCATCATGCCAAGCGGCCTCTGACAGCGGTGGCGCTGGGAACATTTTGGGCAACGGGCCACTCTGCTTCATCCAGGGTCGCGCTGCTTCTCACGTCATGGTGAAGAGGTTTGCGAGTTCTCCATGTGATTCTTGCTGGACATCGTTTGTTTGCGYGCATCATGCGTAGGTCTTTTTGGGGTCACGGTACCACAAGCAGATCTCCGCCAGCACTCCCTGCCTTCGAGGCGCATGCAACCAACCAAAGCGTGCGTTGTCAATATTGTACCTGCGTCGTTTGTGGAGCACGGCAAGCAAGGCCCACTCCTCGGTCGGCATTTGGCTGGTCTTTGAATGGTAAGAGGCTATGATGATGAAAGGCCGTGGAAGTTTGGGGATGAGCACTTAWCTACACCAACGTCTGCGATAAAGAGGTGTGTTCAAAACCGTTCAGCAAGACTCGCGGATCGAGAAACCGGTCAGGACTTGTTCGGTTCGCATCAAGAGGGTGGTCAGCAGCTCCACGATCCACAAGACGGTCTAGATGCTGCATTTGTTGCATCACCGAATAAGAGTTGCACCTTGAAATGCAAGAGCGGCGTCACTGTCGCAGCAACGCGGAGCTGTCCTGTACCGAAATCGTGCGTACCAACGATTCCAACCGGCAACGCTGTTGGCCAGAACTCACTGCAGCATTCGTCTCGTGTGAAACACGCAGCTTAAGCGAAGTATAAAAAGGACTGACTTCCCCGGATGCATCTCGCTTGGCTTTGGATATACCTTGCGTGGCTAGCRAAAATTCCCTCTCAACGACATTGCCATCTATACCGTTCGATCGATCGCTACCAACGTCTCTTTGCATCGGAAGTCATTCCTGATGCCCGATGGCCAAAGATCCGCTTTCGCTGTGGTGGTCTTGTGAGTGTTGATTCGCTGCCAACACACCAGAGCAAGGATGCTCGAGAGGACTCTGTGGACCTGAACAACGTCCGATGCAAAAAGATGCTGTATGATCGCGGCCTGTCGCTCGCCAAGGACGAGAGGACTTGCACCGCAGGGAATCGTTACCCAGCTCCAACTCCCGTCTGGATTCGGACGCGTTACCAGAAGATGGTCATATCTAATGCCCACCACCTATCACCGCAGGGAAGCACGACAGTGTGTCACAAGCACGAAATGGATCGATTTCTTGGCTGCTTCAGCACTGCCACAATGGATCACTTTCATCAAACAGGTAAGCTGATGGCATCCTGCTCTTCTATCTGTAGACGAGACTCTACGTGGGCCTTATCGCGCGCCAAGCGAGTTGCTCAAGGTGGCGCATCGGAAGTACCGACACCTCAAAAGGGCATAAACATGGCAACTGGACTCCCTGCTATCAGTGGAATTCCAGCGTGACAGCTGGATGCGTGGCCATTTTGACTCTTAGCTCTGTAATTGCGACGCGAGAAGCCGGCGTATTGATACAAGTGGAACCATCGGTAGTTCTCTGATTCTACGGCGAACACTTCAAGCAAAGCATATCTGACATCTTGTSGCATGAACGATGGAGATCAAAATAATATGCTGGAGCGGGAATGGTTGCTTTTGCGAGATTGGAGACTCTACTTTTGCGGACCATGCAATTTAAGTGGTATGAGAAGTGGGGACAGATGGCTTGCCCGGATCTCATGCCGCGGATGTCTTCTGGAGAGGATGATACTCCGGATCTGACCTTGCTCGCAGTAGATTTTGAAGGCGATGTTCGCCGCAAGGGAGTCACTGAGATGGGCTTTGCAAGATTGGGTTTGCGTAATCTTTGAAGGTGGTGTTCCAAGAACGATTATCGCCATGGCATGTTGAAGTCGCAGAAACTACCTTTTCCCCAAGTACATGCGGATCGATATCTTAGAGCTCTCTGCTGTGACACTTGGACAGCTCAGCGATGGGCGGATTGTTTTTGCTGGGCACAKCGTGGGGTATGAATTGAAGACGCTGTAAGTTCCCATTGACAGCCTACCGAATGTTATCGGAAGTGAGTACCTACATACCTTTGGGTCCTTTGATTGCGATTGAAGCATGCGCTCACTTTTGACAGTAATTGATACTCGGCGACTTGCTGTCGCTGAGATGATGTGCCATGCAAGTCTCGAAGGGTTGCTGGATCCTCTGCATATCCCGAATGAAGTGCATACTTTTCATTGCGCTGGATATGATGCATACTATGCCATACATGCACTCCTAACCCTCGTTATTCAACGAGAAGAACGAGCAGACTGTGAGGCTGACACATCGTGCTTCAACGATTGCGGGAGCTTCGTTCGAAATACGAGGTTGGGGACCAGTTGAGTGCGGAGGAGAATGGCTATGATTTGGTAGGTTTGGCAGCATATTTGATGGTGTGGAAGATGGTACCTGATCAGAGGGACGGTGGCATTAGTTTGAGGAAGTCATGGCGATACGGGCTCAGAACATGATTTGCGTAGTACAACAGACTAAGTAAACCATCAGATCAACTTACCTCGCAGTGGGGTTCTCGTCAGGAGTAAGGTGCCAACCAAGGCCCGGTGAAAGTCTACCCATAGCACTACAAGATCTTCTGCTCTCTGTAACGATAATAGTACAAGAAAGAAGACATGTTGTGTAAAACATTCAACTTTCCGCAAGGCTACTTCTTTCTGTGCTTATAGCTAGCTACCTGCCAGCGAGCGTTGTCGTCGACTCACTGTAAGGAGAGCCAGCAACCTCTCAATTTTACCGGCCCTTGAGCGGAACGTGAGGTCACAGAATGGGTGGACGTAGTGAAGTGGAGTTGCAAAATGCATTCTCCTGCTTTGGCCACATGTATTGATGATATGCATACGGTCCTGAATGGACTGTTCAGCCTGGATGAGCAGACGGTTCTGCAAACTTGTTCGGCCTTGGACAAGTAATGCGATGGCAGCAGGTGAGGAGGAGAAGAGGGTACCTATGGCTGCCGTCCCTCCTCGCGGTTGTCACATGCTCCATCTGATAAGCCGGAAGTTCATTATTCCCGAATATGCGGGCCGCGACTCATCATTAGTGCTCTGTCAATGCCATCGTCCACGAGCACTCGGTGATCACAGCTTTCACCAGATTCGGTATCTCGGCCTCGCCGGACAGCGGGGAGTGCAAGAGGGCAATGAAACGACAGAATCATGCACAAGAGGCACGTCCACGGGAATGGGCGCGGGGGGTTTTCCGCTCCATTCCCGCCCCAGTGAGTCCAGAGGGGATATGATCGGGAATTTTGGAAGAGACGGTTCCTTTTCGCGCCACTCGGCCAGGCATTTAGCTCGACATGTGTCCCTGTGACCAGACTTGATCTACTGTTGTTTACTTGCCTAAACATAATAAATTTTGAAACCAAGTCCTTTTGCCTTTGAATCGCGGATTGCTTTGTTGTTGAATCACCACGTTGGAAGGAGATCGGCCGAATCCTCCTGAGAAAATCCAGTTCAGTCCAATCGAACCACTTCACATCCCCCACCTCAATACTGACGCACTCTATTGTTGTCGTTCACCGAGCACATCTCGAACCCTGCCCACACCACGTCCGCACTCGGATACAACCCTGCTTTGAGTCACATTATTTACACAAGCACAATTGTTGAAAGTCGAGCCAGCATCAGCCGCCACCGGCCTCCACATCTCCGATATACGAGATAAGCGCGAGTGAGATCGACATTCGTGGGCTTTTAGTTCCGCTGTACTTTGCGGTCCCCGACATTAATCCACACCCCAACCAATTCACAGCACTTTTCTGCGCTCTTGGAGACAGACTCGGATACACAGACATGGCATCGCTCGATACTCTGGACATTATTGTCCTCGCAGTCCTCCTCCTGGGAACTGTCGCATACTTCACCAAAGGCACCTACTGGGCCGTGCAAAAGGATCCGTATGCCACGTCAATAGCCAACGGATCGGCTGGCAAGTCCGGAAAGAGCAGAGACATTCTCGAGAAGTTGGAGGAAACCGGCAAGAACTGTGTCATTTTCTATGGCTCTCAGACTGGCACAGCCGAGGATTACGCCTCACGGCTGGCAAAGGAAGGATCTTCGAGATTTGGCCTCAAGACCATGACCGCGGACTTGGAGGAGTACGACTACGAGAACCTGGACAAATTCCCCGAAGACAAGGTTGCATTCTTCGTGTTGGCCACCTACGGCGAGGGTGAGCCAACGGACAACGCGGTCGAGTTCTTCGAGCACATCGGCAACGAGGATGTCTCTTTCAGCGAGAAGAGTGCCGAGGAGTCACCCCTTTCATCACTCAAATACGTCACCTTTGGCCTGGGCAACAACACCTACGAACATTACAATGAGATGGTTCGCAAGGCTGATAAGCTTCTGACCAAGCTCGGCGCGCAGCGTATTGGAGATGCCGGGGAGGGTGATGATGGTGCTGGTACCATGGAGGAAGACTTCCTCGCCTGGAAGGAGCCCATGTGGACTGCGCTCGCAGAGTCTATGAACCTCGAGGAGCGCGAGGCGGTGTATGAACCAGTCTTTGAGGTCACCGAGAAGCCGGACTTGGATGCGTCTCATGACACGGTCTACCTTGGCGAGCCGAACAAGAACCACCTTGAAGGCACCCAGAAGGGCCCATACAACGCACACAACCCATACATTGCACCCATTGCCAAGTCGTACGAGCTCTTCAACGACCAGACCAGAAACTGCCTACACATGGAGATTGACATTTCCGGATCGAACCTGTCTTACACAACCGGTGACCACATCGCTGTCTGGCCCAACAACGCAGGTCGGGAGGTTGAGCGTCTCTTGAACATCACTGGTCTGACGCCGAAGAAGGACACCGTCATCGGAGTCAAGGGTCTGGATGCGACAGCAAAGGTACCCTTTCCAACCCCAACTACTTACGACACAATCCTACGATACCAACTGGAAATCTGCGCTCCTGTCTCGCGTCAATTTGTTGCCACCCTAGCCCAATTCGCACCCAATGAAGAGCTCAAAGCGAAATTGGTAAAGATCGGCGGCGACAAGGACCTCTTTTCTGCCCAGGTCGCGAAGAAGAACTTTAACATTGCACAATTCCTCGAGCACATCGGAAACGGCCAGAAGTTTGACAAGATCCCATTCGCGCTGTTCATCGAAAGCCTGAATAAAATCCAGCCTCGTTACTACTCCATCTCCTCGTCCTCGCTCGTACAGAAGAACAAGGTCTCGATCACAGCCGTCGTTGAGTCCGTCGATGTTCCTGGCGMACCTCATGTTGTCAAGGGTGTAACGACAAACTACCTGCATTCTCTCAAGCTCARGCAAGACGGAGTGGCCAACCCAGATCCGCATGGCTTGAACTATGCCATCACTGGTCCTCGCAACAAGTACGACGGTGTTCACGTTCCGGTCCACATCCGTCACTCCAACTTCAAGCTCCCTTCAGATCCCAGCAAGCCGATCATCATGGTGGGTCCTGGTACTGGTGTTGCACCTTTCCGCGGATTCGTCCAGGAGAGAGCGCAGCAGGCCAAGAACGGCGAGAAAGTTGGCAAGACCATTCTGTTCTTTGGTTGCCGGAATCGCACTGATGACTTCATCTACAAAGATGAGTGGGAGGTAAGTTTCCCCATGATCTTTCAAGCTTCATTTCTATACTAACAACAGGCGCAGCAATACGCAAAGGACATGGAAGGCCAATTCGAGCTGGTCCCTGCCTTCTCTCGCGAGGGCAAGGACAAGGTTTATGTTCAACATAAGCTGAAGGAGAGGGCAGATGAGATCAACCAGCTCCTCGAGCAAAAGGCCTACTTCTACGTCTGTGGTGACGCAGCCAACATGGCAAGAGAGGTCAATGAGCTCTTGGCAAACATCATCATGGAGAAGCGCGGTGTGGATAAGAGGATAAGTGAGGACATCGTCAAGGGCATGCGTACTGTGAACCAGTACCAGGAGGATGTCTGGTCCTGAAAAGGGAGACGAGTTCGACAGCCAGTCTACATATCGGTGTGCATTGTGCATTGTGCAGCGTGGAGTTTTGCTACATTTTGACGAACATTTCGTTTTTGTAAGGAGGGTTTTAGAGGCGGGKTTGGTTTGATGTGCACTGCAGCTCTCTGGGAGGAACATGCATTCGTCCTTGGAATCTCAAAAACTTTTTTGTGGAGTTTCGGATGGGATTTGGACGAGGTAGATAGAAGGGGTGGCGTCTTTCTATTTGCTACATGAGTTACATAGGAAGTGCATGAGAAATACATGTCTATACATCTTGTATGAATGCTCTTAAGACGCTTTTCATATGTAGTTGAGAATCAAAAATCATACGCTATGATTTCTCTCCCGATACATATAATTCCAAGCGAAGTGGTCGTTCATATGAAGCACCAATACTTATTCAATTTCTAGTAGCCAAGTGGTCGTAGCGATAGGATAGGCGACTTGCGATCCATGTCTTTCGAGTGCCGAATGATTCAACAAGGTTCAACGAGAGCCAAATTTGGGAGAGACTTCCAGACCTCACGACATCTTTTCTTGCCGTCTCGTTACAATCGTCGTAAAGAAGCGCAGTGGTATCCGCTCCACAATCGTTATAGCACTGCATGGACCACGAAGGAATGCAAGAATAAAATGAGTAACCTGCACGGTCCCCCATTACCCATGCAGGCCGAACATCCCCTCGAATCCTCCTTTCACGAATCATCCGAGCGACGCAACTTATTCCCCGTTTGTAGAGACGCGTCCATGGGCCAGTCATTCATTGCTGTTGTGAACCGGCACCGGCAGGAACTTGAGCAGCTCACTGGTGAGCGACGAAAAGGACTGCTACATAATGCGGCGCATCGAGTGGCATTCCCGGGAACCAGGTTCGCAGCGCTACAGGAAACAGGCTAACAAGTGTCCTTCCCGCAAGACGTCAAAAAACTTTTCCTGGCAACTGCTGTGACCATCGGTCCGTACAAGCCGGGCGCAAGACGCAATGTCCCAGAGGATGGCTCTCATGACTGGCAGCGGGGCGTCAACCATGGCGACATGTCAAATCGTGCATTGCATTGCAGAGTCGACAGGGTCATTGGATGAATATCTCACGTCCAGAGGTTGCACAGAACCCCATTCAGCGGCACCTTGCAGACTGGCTCGCCCGACMGCCAGTGCATAGCCACTCGTCTCTCAAATCTGGTCAAACGGGCTCCTATCTTGTCCTCCCGAAAGACCTGGAAAATCCGCGGACAACATGTCATAGGATCACGCATACGGGATCATGTCTGCGGGTGGCCACGTGATTCGGCGGGAGCTCATCTACCTGAGGTCGGCATATGGCAAATGTGGCGTCGTCGGATGAACGGACTCAGGGCGAGGCTGGTCATTTGGAGATGTTGGGCGTGGTGCGCTGGCACAATCTAGAGTGATGTTCGCTGCGTCTCAACCAGGTCCAGATGCACCATGACCCGGGTTTGCAGGGGCAGGCTATTGAGAGGACAGGGCCAAGATGCAGGTACGACATTGATCAGCATTGTTGTGGGCTATTTTGGCGGGTTGTGAGAGGCGGGCTCGACCTTCTGGTCAGAGCTGAATTACACACGCTGCAGCATCTGCGTCTATATTGCGTCAGATCCCCACAAAAAGCAACGGCTCGCCGTTTTGCATGGTCGACGACAGGCGCTGCCGCACAGCTCGCCCTGCTAGCGATGCCGGTAGCCAAATGTGATAGATCACATCAAACGCTGCAGGCTGCAACCGGGTAGACCAACAAGCTTCGGGAGCGCGCCGAGCAGCGGCACTGTGGTCCGGAGCGAGGCAGTAATCTTCGTAGCTGTCTGGGTGGCTCAAAGGCCACTGGTGGTCGATTGACTGCTGAGCGATGGTGGGGTGGTAACGGTTCACATGTGCTCTGTTGGACGTCTGAACTGGCAGCGCGAGCATTTGTGGCGTCTGCCGCATGATGCACCATGTGAAGTTCGCAGAGCAGAGTGTTGAGCTTGTCCATTTCGAACAAAGGCGGCATGGCTTGCAGGTGCCCAAACAATCGGTGGCCCATGCTTGTGACAGGTTTCTGCTCTAGCAGCGGGTGCGGTGCAGGCCAAGGCTCATAACAAAACCGCATGTCTGCGTTGTCTGCCTGCCCAGCGCCGCTCTGCCACTCGGCACATCCTGTTCATCATCCCTCCCTCGCATCGCCATTCGACATCATCCCATCTCATCTCATCTCATCACATCCCATCCCACCGAGATTAGCCTTGCCATCGTTGGTCAGATTCCCGGGGTTTGGATCTGGGACGGGCAGCGTTTGTTGGAAGTGAGTATCGCTATTGAAGATACCGATCTGCTGTGTGGAGGTAGTGGGTTTGATCGTCGACGGTCCCGGCAATCTGGTGTTGATCGGCTCCTCCCTCGAAAGGATACTTCATTTGCGTGGAAAGAGAAGATTCTCGTTGAACCCCGCGCGACTCGGACTCGACTGCCATCCATTACCTTCTTCCTGCCGCAATAATTGCAAAGGCGATTCTATTCTGCAGTTGCCAGTCGTCGGGCCTGCCTTTGAGATGTATGTACTCGCCAAACCGTGATCAACGTTCCTTCCCCCCAAGTTCTACACGGCCGGGAAAGACCCACGGCCAAACAACCTGCTCATCACAACTTCGCCGTCCTTCTTCGTCTTCCCTTCCCTTCTCTACCCACACAACACCCACTTACACACTCACAGTGCAACTTTTCTTCCATTCGTCTTTTTGACAATACAGCCACTGGTAGCCTTTCCACCGCACGTCCACCACTCCTTCACAGCTGCTTCAGCATCATCGCCGTCGTCTTCTTGATCGGCTGCACTGTTTGGGCATTGTCCGTATCAGCAGGTGAGCCACCCACTGCCTTCATCTCGTCTCRTCTCGTCCGACACTCAAGCTGAGACGTGCCGATGGCGGGTCGTCTGAAACTCCAACATCCGCTGACTTGGTCCTGCAGATCACTCGGCCTCCGCTTCGTCTCGAGCACCGTTGGAAGATATCCATCCACTCCAGTCCTCACCGGTAAGCCCGGCTGCTCTGTGTCCTGCACGCAGTAGCATTGGCAACTGGCGTCKACATCTTGGAGACACATCTGCATCATCCCCAGAAAGAATACATATCCATCCACCCGCACTTGCTTTTCCACACATCACCATGGCGGGCTTTGGCTATCCCACCTCCACACATCCCCAGCTGTTTGGCAATTCCAATCGTAGACAGGGACCAGCTGACAGTCGTTTCAAGAACATGGCATCCATGGACTCGAAGAATGTCGGCAGCTACGCTCGCCAGAACAACGGCTACAACACGGCCAACAACGGCGCCATGTACGCCGCTCAGCAGCAGCAGTACGTCTCTCGCGGMCAGCAGGGACAAGGTTACGGCATGCAGCACTCCTCCGCCTCCGATCCGATGGCGGCTCTCGCTCATGGTTTCCAAGGCATGAACATGACCAACCAGTCGTTTGCCGCTCAGGCCAAGAACGCCATGATGTCGACCGCGGCCAACAACTACGGCGGACTCTCCGTGGCCACCTCCATGCCGGGCTCAATGTACGGTGGTGGTGCCCAGTACGTCTTCCCGGGCAACTACGGTGCAGGTGCGGCCACACAGTCCCCCGGCATGTACACCCCACACGGCTCTCAGTACATGCAGCAGATGGGCTACGCCGGCTACCAGCAGCATGACAATTCGCCAATGTCTCAAGCTTGGACGCCCACCACCGCGGGTGCCAACGGCGAGGTTCCCACCCTCATCACGCCTCGCCGTGATTCCAACTCATCCAACGAGAATGACCAGCCGACGACACCATCCTATGCGGGTTACCCTGGCTATCCACACGGCGGCGTTACCATCAACCGGTCTCCCAGCGGTGTCTTCACCCACAGCACTCCATCGCCGACTTCTATGATGGGTCCATACGGCATGCCTGTCGCCAAGCAGCCCGAGCAGAGTGATGTGTCGCCACGCATCAAGCTTCTCATCAACCGCGAGCCAACCATCCCGCGAGCCATTCCTGCCCCGTCGTCACCTCTCAAGCCGCTTGATCGTGCTTTGGAGAACCAGCGCGGTGAGACCAACGTCTACATTCGCGGCCTGCTGCCAGAGACCACCGACGAACTTCTTGAGATTTGGGGATCTCGCTTCGGCGACATCAAGAGCTCCAAGTCGATCATTGACCTCAACACTGGCTTGTGCAAGGGGTTCGTGCCCTCCCCCGTCTCACATTTTTGACCTTGCTGACGAACCTTCCTTCAGATTCGGCTTCGTCAAGTACCACAACTACGAGGACGCTGAGAACTGCATCCGTGGCTTCCACTACCTCGGATATGAAGTCAGCTTCGCCCGCGAGTCCTTCTACTCCAAGCTCAAGACATTCGCCGACGAGGGTAACACCAACCTCTACGTGTCCAACCTTCCCAAGTCGATGAACGAGCACGAGCTCGCCAACTTGTTCGCCCCACACAAGGTCTGCTCTTCTCGCATCCTCCGCGATAAGAACGGTCACGGTCGTGGCGTCGGCTTCGCTCGGTATGTCTTTGCATCATGAGGTTGAAGCATCATGACTGACGACCATCGTAGCTTTGAGAGTCGCGAGTCTTGCGACGAGGTCATCAAGACCTTCAACAACCACACCATCCAGAACGCTGGCGAGGAGCTCCAGATCCAGATCCGCTTCGCCGACACTCAGGAGCAGAAGTCACTCAAGCAACAGACCCAGGCTGCCCGTCAGTTCCGCTCGGCTGAGTACGAGTACGCTACTCAGGCGTGGCGCCAGGGCCGCGATCCCTCCACCGGCAGCTACGACAGCCGGGCTCCCAACGAGTTTGACCAGTATCTCGGCACGGCCGCCTCAGTCCCCATCCAGGGCCAGCGTTGGGCCCAGTCTGCCATCCGCCAGGTTCCCGGTCGGAGCCCACTCGGTGCGGTGCAGAGCGTTCCATACACTGGTGCCGCCCAGCCTCCGCTCGTTCAGGTCAATGTTGCCGCCAACGCCGAGGACCAGGCCACACCGGCTGACAACATCGCCGACTCCAAGTCCGTTGCCACTTCGCCAGCTACCGCTCATGCTTCCACTCCCATCACCTCCGAGCCGGAGTAAGCGACACTGGTGCACTATCGATACCGTCAATGAGGCCCAATGCACTGTACACTCGACATAACGAATACACGACGTGCTCACGAATAAATACGAGCACATGCAACATCGCATTCATTCCACATTGCGCATTACTACAGCTTGACTGGACGGCCCAGTCTCTGTCTCTCACTGCTCGCACCATCAACATCAATCGACAAATGCAGTGTGATTTCATGACATGACATCAGCAATGTATGTTGACCATGCCACCTGTGGCTGGCTTGGGGGGACCCATCTTCGAAATATGCAGATGCGTTCTGTGCTTAGCTTTGTGTTTGTTACTTATCGGCGGGTGTTATTGTGTGGGAGGTGGCGGCAAACATTTGCTCTCCTGTGTTCAGACTTCCACTTGCAAGGGATCAGACTGCAGCCTTCGCGGGCATGGAGGTGGAGCATGGTTGTGGATTAATGTCAATGGCGGTTAATGTCATGGTTCATGGTACGACTATATGTCTATGTATACATACAATGGCACGTCGCTGTCGCCGCGGATGATGTTCCATCTCGTCAATGTCCACGTGTGTGATCCCAGTCGACGCAAAGCGCTTCGTACAGCCGTCACCGACCTGTCAACGGGTAGCCATTCTCTCACAAACGATGACAGGCGGGAATGCCAGCATGGCAGCTCGACCTCAAACAATGCTGACAGCCTCTGAATCTAGATTGTGAAGACGCGGCAATGTCTCGGCTTGGTGAAGGTCCGATGTCTGTCTGATCTTTGGTACGTTCCCACTTCGACAACGACGACGACCACGTTTTGCAACATTCTTTGGAAGCACGATACGCGGGCGTGTCATTGGCTACACGTATTGGCGCGATCGATAAGCCTTGGAGTCGGCCAGAGAGTTTCAGCCCATTGGATCAATTCAGTTTAGCCCAACGGGCGGTTGCTGCAAGGAACACAAGGGACGACGCCTGGACGCCATTAGGATTCCTGACTGCCGAGCCCATCGACAACGCTTCAATAAATATCTTGTGCCCTGCGTAGCATTCGTGGCGGAGCTTTGGTGGAACGCGGGCACCGTTCAGCCTGCCCTACACCATCCATCCCATCCTTTCCATCGACACGCATTCGTTTGACACTGGACATTGAAAGTTTGTGGGGGTCCACACGCGCGCAGCAAAAGCTTGGAGGAATAATGCACCACGCGCGAGCGAGAGTGAGATAGGATGAGTATGGCAATCACACGTCTTGGAGCAAGGCGTTTGCGGTACACGACGATTTGCTGACGAAACACTGCGTCGCGACAGCTGTGCCTGCGCCGTCAGATGGACGCCCTCTGCCCTCGCCCGCGGACCTCGACTACGCGGACCTCAGTAGCAGCCCTCCACCGGAGCCTCTGCTGATTGCCCCGCCCACCGCTCCCTATCCTCCACCGAGTGCCACCCTACGGGACCATTCCACCAATCGCGGTCGTGCATTGAGCGCAACGAGCCCTCAGAATGCCACGCCACGAGCCACAACGCCCGCATCGCAGGCTCGGTTGAAGTCCAGTCTCGAGATTGATCGCAAAGCCTCCGTTCCCTATGGCCATCACCGGCAGACATCGATTGTGCACGGGGTGCAGCATTCGCGCAACACCAGCATGCTGTCCGCATCGACTAGCTCAAGTCCGATGACCCCTCAAAAGATTGCATTCCCCGACGCCATGCCCGGTGCATACAATCCAGCTCCGAGTCTGAAGAAAAGTCCGTCAATGTCAACGTTACATTCGAATGCCCTGCCGAATGGTGCGCTTCCAACTGCAGTCAATCGTAGTTTTGAAAATGGCACCATGCAGAGGAGGCCAGAGCGCATGCATAGTGGGAGGGTGAAGCGTAGCCATGAGCATCAGCGATCACAGTCGAGGATTACGGCGCATACGCAGACGCCGGCACAGACACCGGAGTTGAAAACGGTTGGCGAGTATGCGCTTCACCACTTGTTCACCTCGTTCATCGCCGAGGCCGACGAGAGGATTGAGCGTTGCATGCAGAAGCCAGGAGAGCCAGAACCTCGTATTGAAGACATTTGCGGCCCGGGGGCAGATCCGGCTTTTGACCAGCTCATATCCTCGCTGGGACACATCAATCGACACAAGCCAAACTCCCTGATTGATTCAGTCATACACTGGCGAAAGAAGAAGGCGGATACTGCAAACACCATGTACGGAGAGTTGAGAGCGCTGCGAGAGGCCAATTCCTTGACCCAGCGTGCTATCATGGGCGGTCCCACCTCAGTTCCCAACTCGCCGCCCAGCGGCCGTGATATTGTCCTGCTAGAGGCGAGCGTTGGAATGGCAGATCGGCGGTCCACAGTCTCTATTTATATTCTATGCCGAGTGCTGATCGAAATCATTGGACAAACAACCCTTCGAGCCCTGAACGGACCAGACAGTGCACTGAACACTGCCGGACGGCTTGAAGATGTAATATACGGCCAGTTGCAAAGTGCCGATCCAGATCTACTGGCAACATCGCCCGTCATCCGAGCGAATTGGGTCATACGAGGCCAGCTGCTCGGAGTGATGAGTGGTGTCCGCTTCGATGAGGTGGTTGAGAGATTCCTCAAGGATCTCAAGGTCGCGCAGAAGCGATTGTCAATCAAAGGACTCGCCGATCCCAAATTGGCCGCGAAGACATCTTTGCTCGTGCAGAGTATGCGATGGCTGAAAATACGCACTCAACCTGAGGAGGCCTGGCAGCAGTCTTGTCAGATGCTCCAACTGCTTGCCAAATTCTTTGCGGAAGTACATGGCCGGACCATGAAGCATGCGTATGCGGAGCTCTTTGAACATCTTCTTCTGCCCATCGCGGCGACGGCAACAACCGAGCTCAACATGCCCAAATGGAAGGAGGTGGTATCAATTGTACAGCCAAAGATTACGCAAATGCTTTCAAAAGCAGACCATTGGCCACATGTTTATCCGTTGCAGGCGGTGCTTTTGTGTGCCTCGCCTGCTGAACAATTTGCCACGCAGTGGCTGCAACTGGTTGTCACATTCCAGCCGAAAGCTCGAGATCGTGCGGCTCGCTCTCACGCCCTCAAAGCGATTTGTCGACTTGTGTGGCGATATCTATACCGCACTGCCGACTCGCCCAATGCTGTGGCCAGGAAGCTTGACGAGATTGTGAAGCTCGTCTTTCAGGGAGGCAAGCGCGTGCTCATATCGACTGATCCCACCATTGCAGATCCTCTCATACAGCTTATACGGATGGTTGGTTACAAGCATCAAGACGTATGCTTCAGGACAATCATCTTTCCCCTCATGAACGCGGAACTGTTTTCCGGTTCTGATAGAGACCTGAAGATTGAGAATCTCGACCCGGAGAAGACCGTCATCGCCATCCGCGCGTTCCTCGCCATCATGGCCGATCTGGAGAGGGCAGAGGCTCCTCCCTTCCCGACACGTTTCGAGTGCGATTCGCTAATGGACCCGTCATCACGAACGCCCATCACCCATCGTCGAACCCGGTCGCAGGGCTTTGCTCTATCCGCAGGTCGGACTGAGCGTTTGTCACGACCTGTCATGACTACAAACCTTAACGAAGTCGCAAAGGAGTATTATGTCAAGTTCTGCAAGATGCTGGGACAGTTGACCATCATCTGCGACAACACCTTTGGTGGGCAAGCTGTGCTGGATGAGAAGTTTTCCTCGCAGACGCCCAAAACACCAATGGCCGAAGCATTCACGTTATACAAGAGAGACGAGATGCACCCCACCGATGTTCGGCAGCACTACTACGACCTGCTGCATGTTGCCGTGGAGGCACTGCCGCGATGTTTATCGCCACATTTACCCATCAACTCGCTGGTCAACCTGCTTTGTACGGGTACCGCTCACGTCCAGTCCCATATTGCGACCTCTTCGGCACAATCTCTCAAATCCATCGCACGGCAGTCGCACGCGCAGCAGGTCACCATCGGCTTCGCACGGTTCATCTTCAACTTCGACGACCGCTATGCCACTGTTTCGGATGGCAGTCTGCTAGGGCCGGGCCATATTGAAAATACACTCAAGCTCTACGTTGAGTTGCTGCAAATATGGATCGATGATATTCAACAGCGCACGCGCAAGGCTGCGGCGGAGCCGCGCGATGACGAAGATCAGACTATTCGTCCGCTACCACTCGATCTGTCAGGAWTCCTAGCGCACGTTGATGAGGTTGAATCTCACGGGCTGTTCTTCCTCTGTTCGCCATCCCGAGCGGTTCGAGCTGTGGCCGTCAACGTCTTGCGTCTCATCACCAACTTCGATACTGCGTTGGGCAAGCCTTGTACCCGCATCATCAGCATTCTCGAAGGCGGCTCGCAGCAAGTGATTGATGTCAACGACGAACGTCTGACATTGGCGGAGCGAAGCCGGCTGCAAAAGGGCCTGCGTAAGGGCAATGTCAACAGCACACTTGTCGAGCTTTGCAGCAGTGACGTCGCACACGATGCAAATCTGTGGTTCAAAGTCTTCCCAAACCTCGTTCGGCTCAGTTCTGAGATCTGTCTACATGCCGTTGCCCTGACCCGGGAGCTTGTGTGCCAGAGGCTGTCTCACAGTTACCGATTGATCGCAGCTCTCGGCGAGGGCGTCAACAACAAACATACGGCAAATGCACTCGAACAAGCCTTTGGCGCGAACAAACCTTCTGCTCGACTGAACAGCACTTCTCCTGATATCATCATCGAACAGTGGAAAATTCACCTCATATTCGCCTGTACAACATTGACAAATATTGGCGGCTCGTCGAATCATCTCCCCGTCTCCAGCCAGAGCTCTCAGCACACCCGTAAGAGCTCAAAGTCGTCTGCAACTAGCCAGGAGAAGATCGCGTCTGCATCGGAGCTCTTCACAAGAGTGGTGCCGTTCTTGAGTGTGCCCAATCCGAGTGTTCGGAGTGCAGCAGTGGCTGGCCTTGGAGCTACCAATGCGACGCTCTTCCAAGCACTACTCGAGATCCTGCAGCCGTTGGTTATGGAATGTAGTGCAGAAGCAAAAGAACGCATTGCTACTCATCAGCGGAGTATCAGCAACTCACGGAGGAACTACAGGATTGACTTTTTGCGAACAGAGATCACACACCTCCTTAGTCTGACCTCACACCTTCTCTACAATCCGACCGTCTCCAGCGAGGACTATGTCATGGCTTACATGGTTGATTACACCAAGCATCTTCGAATCTTCCTAAGCGACACGGGAATACAAGGAGAGCTAGAGTTCCAAAAACTGCGAACGCATTACTGTGCACTCGTGGACAACCTTTATGGTAGCGTCCAAACTCGTGAGAACGCCGCTCACTGGATCTCGTTTCAGTCTCGACAAGCGACTTTCGCGCTGATGGAAAATTGGTGCGGCTTCTCACCTAATGAGTTTCAGCTTCGCAAGCATCAAGAACACCTTCGCCGGTCGATCTTGGAGCGCGAAGGTGACATGCGCAGTAGAGGTGWCATCAACTCAGCGATCGAAAAGGAGAAGAATGAGCTTCAATTTGCCGCACTCAGTGCAATGGCCATGCTTTGTGCCGGACCACTACGATTTGTGGCAGACAGCAGGGTACTGATGCAGTTCGACGTAAGGCGAATGCTGTCATGGATTAATGGCATCTTCGAAGCGCCCAGCGATCGGACACACAACGTCGGCCGGAAGGCACTCCACAGTCTTATCGTGCACAACCTTGACCAGCCATACCTCATGGCACAGACGATGAGAATGTGCTACATCGCCCGCACGCCCAAGTCTGTGGGTAGCTATTTTGAAGTCGTTACGAAAGTGTTGACGGAAAATAACGACATAGCGACGCCGTTTTGGAAGATTCTCTGTGCAGGTCTGTACACGCTTGGAAATGAGGACAACAGCGTACGAATGAAATCTGCAAAACTTTTACGCACTCTTGAAGAACGCCAGGGCAAAACATCCAAGCTGCAAGATCTTGACATCAGTGTCTCGGACAAGACGACGGCGGTGTACAAGCTCGCACAGTTCGAGATTTCCCGCCGACTAGCCAGTCAACACCCAGAACTTGCTTTTCACGTCTTCTCGGAGTTTTCCGCGTACTTCAACGAGCTACAGCCTGATCATCAGCGGAATATGGTCTCCGGGATGCTCCCATGGATCCAGACTATTGAGCTCCAGCTCGACCCAAACGGAGGCCCTACTGCAACATCCCACATGCTCCTGGTGAACCTCTTCGAGATCACAGTCAAGAGCAGCATAACTCTGCACAATGAGATTCAAGCGCTGTGGCAAGCCCTTGCCACAGGTCCCTACGCAGGGAATGTACAACTTATCCTCGATTTCATCATCACCATCTGCTTGGACAAGCGGGAGCAGAACTTTGTGATATATGCGAAGCAAATCGTCGTCTTTCTCTCCAAGACACCAGCTGGCGCGAGGGTGGTAGAGTATCTGCTCATGCAGATCTGTCCAARGACTATGGTGGCCGAGCGACGAGAGGCTATGCAGCCTCCGCTCGACACTGCCGGGCTGCCGTACATTGCCGATCTTGCTGTAGTGCTTCCAAGCGGCGCAAAGCAGAACGGTCTTTCATTGGGCCAGCTGAGCATGATATTACTAGTGGATCTGGTCGTCTCGCCTTTTCAGCTGCCGGCGGACAAGGTGCCTGTTCTGCTGCAGGTCATCCTCGTGCAGTGGGATCAATATGTTAGTGTCGTGCAGGATCAGGCACGCGAGATGCTGGTACATCTCATTCATGAACTTGTTATATCCAAGATCGATTCTGGAAGCACCGAGCCGGACAAGAAATCCATCGAAGACTTTATCGAGTCGGTGCGGAGACAAGACGTCAAGATTTCCTGGTCATACGCCGATAGCGAGGTACGTGCTGGAGAAGAGGACAGCCGGGCGGTATCAGAGCCAATGGCATACGTGGTTGATGAGGTTGTGCGCATCTTCTCAATCACCTACCCAGGCATCCGCGAGGAATGGGGCAGAGTCACAATGCACTGGGCTACGTCGTGTGCGGTGAGGCACGTTGCGTGCAGGAGTTTCCAGGTGTTCAGATGTGTCTCCACGACGCTTGATCAGGACATGCTCGCCGATATGCTTGCGAGGCTGTCCAACACCATTGCCGATGACGAAAACCACGACTATCTCATCTTCTCGCTGGAGATCTTGACAACGCTGAGAAGCATCATCGATGCACTGGATCCTTTGGACGTGCTTGCTTATCCGCAGCTCTTCTGGAACGCCTGTGCCTGCCTCGATACCATCTTCGAGCGAGAGTTTCAGGAATGTCTCAGCATGCTTGATCTGCTTCTGACCAAGATGGACTTGAGTGATCCGGCGGTGCTGAAGATTCTCCAAGAAAGTCAGCCTGAGAAATGGGACGGTGGTTTCTCCGGCCTTCACACGCTCATCTACAAAGGTGTTCGCTCCAGTAAATCCATGGAACGCTCTCTCAAGATCATGGAAAGACTGATCAAGCTTCCATCGGGTGACATCGTGGGTGACGATGACCGACTATTGTTCACAGTCCTGGCAAATCTACCTCGCTACCTGCATCACTTCGATCACGACATCGATACATCAATCTTGGAATCCGCAGAGATTCTAGCATATGCAGCAGAAAGCCAGAACTATGTCAACCTCGCGAGAGCTCTGCAAGGTTTCGCCAGCGGCAAATATCGGACCGAAAAGGACTTCCTCGCGCAGTGTATGTCTGCCATCCGTACGGCCTTCTTTCCCATGCAGGAGTTCAACAGCCTCGTGTTCCTCCTCGGCATGGTCAACAACCAGACTGCTTGGGCCAAAGTCAAGACGATGCAGATATTGTGTGTCATAATCCCAGAAACCGACATGCGCAAGCCGGAGATTGCTAGTCAAGGGCCAGATCTGATCTCGCCGTTGTTACGATTACTCCAAACTGAGCACTGCCAGCAAGCCTTGGATGTTCTGGACAATGTGATTGATATGACCGGTACACCGCTCGACAACAAGCACCTTCGCATGAGCATGGCAGGCTCGCACTCCAGCCGGGCGACAAGGAAAGAGTACGACAGCACGAAGAGTTTGTATGGTATTCCAGAGGAGTCTGGATGGTCAATTCCTATGCCAGCGTTGCATTCGGCCCAGACACGAGCAAACGTGCACGCTGTCTTCTACACACTGGCCTACGCCGGCGTGAACGGCTATCACGAGACTGACAACACACCTGAGATTGAGTTCCACAAAGACGACTACAGTCAATACGACTCGTATTTTGCTGATCGTACTGCGACAATGCTCTCGGATGATGCACGCATTGCGGATACCAATCTCGGCGAACTGGCGGAGAAACTTGACACTCTCGACGATTTCTTCGACGAATCGGCCGAATCGCCATCTGCTTTGCAGAATGGAGCAGAGAGGTATGCGGTCGATGCGCGAGAAAATCTCTACGATCAACAAGCCTTGCCAATCCTTCATCGCTCGCTGAGGCGGAATGCGAGCATCACATCTTTCCAGACTGGTTTCGCCGAACTCCGTCGTCATCCACCTCGCGAACCCATCATGAATCCAGCAGCTTTTGCTCACCCAGCCTATGCTCAGCCTCCAGGCCTGCACCACCGTCCGAGCACARATACCACTCGACCTGGTCTTCACAACCGCTCCGTCACTTCTCCTGTGACATCCCTCAATTCTCCAACCCGCTCCAACACCGACCTCTTATCTGGCGATGAGACTGGGGATGATGTTGAGCCTTTCTCCGATGCTGATGACGAGCCGCATACCTTTGGACGCTCGCAGACTGCGGATGAGATTTCTCAAAGTGCACAGTATACGGTCAAGCCTTCTGGGGGATTCAAAGCGCTGCGGTCTAATTTCAGACGACTCACGAGTGGGAGTCACGCTGCAACGAGGGAGGCTAGAGATGCGGTTAGAGCAGCTGAGGCTGCGAGGAATCTCAAAGTTCCCAAGTTGCCTGCGGGATATATTTTGAGGGAGGGGCCGTTCAGTGCTGAGCCATAGGGGTGGAGGGATGATATCGGCGGCTTCTTGTATAAAGAGGTGTTGTAGTGTTATTAGTAGATATTTGATACCCATCTAACGAAGATTACGTTTGACGTGTACGCTTGAGGAGAAATTGGTCTCACATTAAGTTTGGGTGAACATGCAACCGCCTGTACGTTTTCACAGCTGTATCGTGTGCGAAATGTCGTCGAGTATGTGGAACATGGAGAGCCGGAAGACATTTTTCTTGGCAGTGACTGAGAGACTGCTGTTCTGTCGAAGAGCCAGACATGGGCAGCACATTCAACATCATCGCGACGTTGCCGTCCTCATCAGTCCTAACCCTAACCCTACCACTGACTCCGGAGCCAAGTCCGCATGGCCTGCAGTTGCAGACGCCCGCCCAAACATTTCCCAACTGACTGTTAACATTGCCATCACAAGTCACAATCGCGGCAACCACAAGTCTCCCTTGGCAGCTCCGAACATCACGGACTTTTGATCAAACATTGCCAGATTCGCGCCTGACATTGCGTCCTCGAGCAGTGAATGCTTCCTGTCCGGCGAACATTGACTCACTGGAGCACAAATCCACAAAAAAGTCCGCTGCTCTTCAAAGCTTCAATTTCCATCAGACTGCTGCACCCGAGCAAATGCGCGTTCAGAGAAAACTGCATGTCTCCGGTCCGATCGAGTTCTACATCACCTAGAGGTATCAAGCGACGTCGCGTGGAAAGTCCATCTTCATCATCACCTGCACACCGCAGACAAACCTCCAACATGCCGCCGATGCTGGTCCAGGAAGTCGAGGATGAAGTCACATCCTCCTCGACGACGATACAACTCACGCCCGTGGAGGAAACTCTAACGCGACTCCTTTTGGACGTCGCACAATACATTGATGAAACTCCCGATGCTGCAGCCGGACAAGAGAGTCAAATTGCCCTTCCCCAAGAACTGGCAAAGGAGAAACTCACGCYGAGGTATACGGGAGGTTGGGTGCGAGACAAGCTGTTGGGTGTTCCATCACATGACATTGATGTGGCAATCAACAAAATGACGGGCTATCAATTCGGGTTGAGAATGAAAGAGTATCTCGAGCTTCCCGGAAACTTGGAAAAGTATGGTTTGGAGTCCGTCGCTTCGAATGAGAAGCAGAACGCCAAAGCAGGTACGACGGACAAATCAAAGACTGTGGGTGGTTTGCACAAGATTGAGGCGAATCCGGAGAAATCGAAACATTTGGAGACCACGACCATGAGGATTCTCGGACTGGACATTGATCTTGTCAATCTACGGAAAGAAACCTACTCGGATGATAGTCGGAACCCACAGGTTGAATTTGGTACTCCCGAAGAAGATGCAATGAGAAGAGACGCAACTGTCAACGCCATGTTCTACAATCTCAACACCAAAGAGACGGAAGACTTCACCGGACGTGGACATGAAGACATGGCGTCGAAGATGATCCGCACTCCTCTCGAACCTTATCAGACCTTCAAGGACGATCCGCTTCGCGTACTTCGACTCATACGGTTTGCAAGTCGACTGGGATATACCATTGAGCCTGAAGTCCTCCAGGCCATGCGCGATGCAGAAATCAAAGATGCCTTGAGGAGAAAAATCAGTCGCGAGCGAGTGGGCACTGAATTGGAGAAGTCTCTACAAGGTCCCGATCCACATGAAGCGCTGCGACTAATCTTCGACTTGGATTTGTACGAAACGATCTTCTCGGACCCATCTCTTGGGAATGMGGATCACTACACCCCGGATACGAAAGGGTGGCAAGTCATCATCGATTCATTGGGGGAGACCATTGACAATGAGGGAGTGCTTGCTGAGAATCTCGTCCGAGATAAGGAGGAGAAGTACCTTGCCTGGCAACTCGCAGCCATGGTTCCGTACCGGGATGCTCCACAACCCCAGGCACCACCTGGAAAGAAACCTCTACCGCCTGTGGCTGTTGTTGTTGCGAGAGAGGGCTTCAAAGCGACGAATCGTGTTGCGGACGTCATTGGTGCGGCTGTGAAGCATCAGGAGGAGATTTCCGGGGTTGTAGACAAGTTGTACGAGAGGAAGCGAAGACCCGACAAGGAGGTCGAGGGCAGCGAGGATGTCACTAGACGTGACGTTCTGGGGATGGCGATTAGGAGGTGGGGCGGAACTTGGAGGAGTCAAGTCATCTATTCCTTGATGGTGKAGATCTCGG